AGCTCCTTATACAGCGGGCACGAAAGGGCAGAGAACGAGTCATTCTTGTGTCTCTTGGGAAAGAAAAGGGAGAAGGGACCCAAGCTTGAGGCTGTGGTTAGGATTTCTAGCCACAGCCTCTGCAAGTGGGTCGTGTCCAGTGTCCTTTATGCAGTAAACAGAGAGGTTAATAAGGACCGATTGCTATGCCTTCTGTGCTCTGTGTGCTTTTTTAGTGACAGAAAACCAAATCTCGACAGATTGTTCCTCAGAGCCTGGCAATTCTTTATTTCTCATTACCCAACTCTAACGAATTCACCGTAGTACAACTTTGTACCTACAGTACTGCGAAACAGATTCACTATCTACATTAAGGAGGAAAAATTCATAAATAGATGCATGAAGTACTACATCAAACAAAAACAAAAACCAACCTCTTCAGGCTTTATACCGCTGATAAATTTATTTTAACGTTTAACATTCTTCCAGAAAAGTCTTATTTAACAACGATAACTGGTGAGGCCAAAAATCTAATGTCGGAGGTTAGATCAAGGCTCGATCCCAATATCGGAGGACGCTCACACACCCTTCAAACCCAGGCTCACAGCCCGCCGGTGATCTGAAGTGCGCAGGCGCAGTGGCGCGGGGGCGTGTCCGCGCGGCGGGTTTTCCTGCGGGCGGACGCTCCTCCGAGTGCAGCCGCGGTTCCAACTCAGCCGCCGCTTGCTCGCCTTGGCGAGACCGTCCTGCGGCTGAGGTGAGTTCGGTGCTGGGTGGGGGCAGAGCTGAGGGCGAAGGAAGCGAAGCGAGAAAAGTCAGGCTCGAGCGGAGACGCAAACGAAGGGTGCCAGCGAGAGCCAAGGGGCGGAATGAGCGGAGCGCGCGGAACGGCCGGAAGTGAGGGATGGGTGGGTGGAGACAGCGCGTGATTGACTGGCCGAGAACCAATGCGAGGGGCAGCCCGGGGATAGCGGCGCCTTCAAGTTGAATGTAGTGTGTTGAGTTCTAAAATTTAGGAAAGCTGTATTAAGCGATTTTTTCCCCCAGGGAATTATTTCATTTAGTGAACGTCAGGTGTGCACCATTACCACCTCTGTTAAACATGAAGACGCAGGTGTTATTGATAATTATTAACCTGAGATCCATTTTGGCAATCTACCCCGGGGCCCGGCCCATACTGTTAAGTGCTCTGCTGTCCTGCTGTTTTTTAGGGCTCAGGAAGGAAGATCGGATGTATGTAGATCTACCACATTGGTAATGGAAGTGGGAGTCAATAATAAATACATAGTTCCCACACTGTCCTGAAATCCAGGCTCGCTTGCACCTGTATGTCTAGTTTTCCCAGACAGTGGCACTCTTCACCTCCATGTGCACCATTCCAGGGAATCGCCTTTTTAGTCTTCCTAGTTCTGTTGTACTTAGGTAAGCTTGACCTGAAAGACCCCCAAGGGAGATCTTCCTCCGGGAGAGACCCCAAACCCAAGGAACACACCGAAACCACAGATCAGATGCAAAAGCAAGAGGGTTTATTTAGACCAGGTACCTGGGGCGAAGTCTCTTGGAGGACTTGCACGCTTTCCTAGGGCAAGGGGGACTTTTTATGGGATCCCAGGGGCAGAGGCGCGGTTACAGAAGCAAGAAGCATAGTTACAGGGTCCCTATTGGTTGTTTCAAAGAAGGCCAGGGTGAACTTGGGGTCGTATGTGTGTGGCTAATTTGGCCTTG